AAAACACAAATCAACTTAAAGTTCACGGCCAGCAAGAAAAATGCTTCTGTTTATAGGCCAGAGGCTCAGGTAATCAACTGCTTACCAAGCTAGCATGCAAGGCCAGGCTTTCCATCCCCAGCAGCTCAGATAGTGTACATGGTAGTGCACACCTGTAATCCTAGCATTCTCTAGATGGGGGCAGGAGGATCACAATTTTAAGGTCATTCTCGGCTACATAGTGAGTTTGAGGCCACCCTGGGATTCAGGAGATCCTGTCTAAAAGGATGAGATACCAGTTATTATCCAATAAGGGCTTTCTTACATAAAGTGGCTTACAGAATCAAGGTGTTCTGCAGGAGCAGTAGGTCTTAGGCTCAGCTACTGCCTGGGGTAGCTTTGTCATCACTGTGACAAAATACCTCAGGAAAGCTCCTAAATGGAGAGCTTCAGTACAATTCAAATTTCTTGCTCTTCCTGAATCTAGACTAATTTCCTTGTGTTTGGAAATGAATTGAGATGGCAGGGCTTAAGGATCCATGACCTTAGGTTAAGGGTCAGCACAGTGCTGTGAATTGAATATGAAACTTCTGACCCTCTCCAGTTCATGTGGGTACTGCTACCTTGAAATAGTGGAAACGTTAGGAGGCTGGGGAAGACGTACTTCACTGGGATCACACCATTGACGGTTATACTGTGTCCCCTTCTCTTTCCGTGCTTCCCATACAACAGGAGGTGAATAGCCCTTGCTTTATTTTTCCTACCTGCAAGTTCTGCCTTACCCAGATTCAAAGGAGCCTGGGACTATGGGCTGAGCCAAGACAAACTTTTATAAACTCATACTATGTACTCACACCCTTCTTGGAAAGGGCTTTTCAGATCCTTGCTCCAGTCTGCATATTTTTAAACCACGGAGTTGTGGTAGATCTTACATATATCCTGATTCAAGCCAGGCAGTGATGGTGCACACCTCTAATCACAGCACTCGGGAGGCAGAGGCAGGCAGATCTCTGTGAGTTAGAGGCCAGCCTGGTCTACAAGAGCTAGTTCCAGGACAGCTAGGGCTACTCAGAGTAATGCCGTCTCAAAAAACAAAACAAAAAAATACCACTTTCCAAGTATTTCTCATTTTGTGTTTCCATGTCACAGTAGTTTTTTGTTGTTGTTGTTGTTTTTTGAGACAGGGTCTTGCTATTAAGTCCAAGCCTCACTCAATTTCAATTTCATAATGGTGTCATCAGAAACATGAAAATTCTTTTTTGTTTTGGGTCCTTTTAAAAAAAAAACAGAGTTTCTCTGTGTAGCCCTAACTGTCCTGGAACCCATTCTGTAGATCAGGCTGGTCTGAAACTCAAGAGATCTGTTTCTGCCTCTGGAGTACTGGGATTAAAGGTGTGTACCACTATATCTATCCAGAAGCATGGAATTTCTTAATTTTGATAGTCAGTTTTCATTGTGTGTCTGTTCCAAAGCTAAGAAATCACTGCCTAATGTAAGATCATAAAGAGATACCCCTATGTTTTGTCTAGGAATCTGTTTAAGACATCAATTCAGGTTTATTTATTTTGTGCTAATTTCTGCATATGGAATGTTGTAGAAACCAAACCAGAATCTTTTGCATTGTGATATCTGTTATTCCAGTACCACTTCTGAAAACATTGATGTAACCCCACTGAGTTTTCTTGGCAAATGATCCCAAGTGTATACATTTATTTCTGAATTCTCAGTTCTACTTCATTTGATCTATGTCTATTCTTTTTGTGTGTGCTCATGTGTATATGCACATGTGCATTTTAATGTCTGCAGACAAGCATTAGATACTATGGAACTGGAGGTACAGGCAGTTGTGAGACACTTGATGTGGGTGTTGGGAACCAAACTCAGGTCCTCTGCAAGAGCATCAAGTGCTCTTAAACTGCTGCGCCATCTCCATCGCTATTCTATAATCTAGTCTCACAACACTCACACCATACTGTTATTATAACAGGTACTCAGACCTTAGCAGGCTTTCAGATCTTAGCACACCTGGCTCCATAATGGAAGTACCATTTAGGCCCTAAAACTCCACTCAGCACACAGAGCCACGTGCCAAAACGAAAATTAAGACTTAATCCATCAAAGTTCACAGTTCTGGGAAAGTCTCTTAAATGTACTAACCTTGCTTTTTGGCTTCTGTAATTCTGCTTCTGGCTAACTGTTCTAACTGAATGAAGTATGTCAACACAAGATATTGTTTTTGTGCTTAAAAGCTCACCCTGAGGAAAACCCAGAGCTACACTGAGATCCTAAAACACCTAGTGTAGTCGCCAGCCGGCTAATATTAGCTTAAACCAGTGTCTGAGTAATCTTCTCCAGTGAACACCCCAAAACAAGATTAGTGTGCCTTGATAGCAAGCTTTGAAATCAAGCCGTGTGAGTCCTCTCACGGTTTCTGGTTGCTTGTTTTGTGTATGAACACTATTGTAGTAATTCAGAGTCCCTTAGATGTCTATCTGAAGCAAACTTTATTAGCTTACAAATAAGTAGATTTCATTATGGCATTTTCCCCAGATATTTACTTCTCTCCCTGTCTTCTTCCCATGACCCCTTATGTTCTACCTGCTGACTTCTTTCCACAGTCACTTTACATGTGACCTCTTGTTCCCCTCCCTCAACTCTTCCTACTGGAATTTTAAAATCAACTTGTTGGTTTCTGTAAATGCCAGCTGGGATTTTAAACAAGGATTGCATTAAACTGTAGAAGAGCATGATGAATCCTGCCTTAACTATATTCAGTCTTCTAGATGAATATGGAATGTCTGCATGTATTAGATTGAACATTTTGACATGGCATATTAACTGATTTTGCAATGTTAAATGAACCTGGCATCCCTGGAGTGAATCCCAGTTTGTCACAGAATATAATTAATCCTTTCTTATACATTCTTTTACTAGATTTGATTTGCTAATACTTTTTGAGCTTCTTGGATGTAGATTTCATCAAGCTTAGGGCTCTGTTAGCCATAAATTAAAATATTTTATTCTTTTCTTTTCTGTCCTCTTTTAAAAATATGTTTGTTTTTGTGCAGATGAGTGTTTTGGCTGCATGTATGTATGTACACCACATGCATGCCTGGTGACCAAAGAGAACAGAAGAGGATATTGTATCCCCTGGAATTGAAGTTACAGATGATTGCGATCCTCTGTGTGAGTGCTGAGAACAGAGCTTGATGCATGTGATGGCTACTCCTGGTAGTCAACTTGACTACTTCTGGAATTAACTAAATACGCAAGCCATTGGGCATGCCTATAAGGGATTTTTAATTAGTTGGGTCATTTGAGGTAGGAAGACTCAACTTAAATATGGGCCACACCTTCTCATGGAAGCCTATATAAAGGACAAGGAAGAAAGGAAGTTTTCCAAGTTCATTTCTTCACCAATATTAGAGCCTACTTCCTTGGGATCCTGGTATATATTGAAGATCAGCTGAGATATCCAGCCTTGTGGACTGAACAACTGCTGGATTCTTGGACTTCCCATTGTTGGACTAGTCAGATCATAACCTGTAAGCCACTCTAATATATCCTCATCTATGTATGTATGTATGTATGTATGTATGTATGTATGTATGTATCATCTCTATCTATCCATGTATCTATGGGATTTGTATAATATATATATATGTGTATATATATATATGTATAATATATATACATATATATGTATATATACATAATATATATTATGTATAATAT